TAATAGTAATTATGTAATTACTACGTCGTTACTACGCAGTTACTGCGTATTAAGACATTTAAGTTTCTGTAAAGTAGATTAGAATTTATTTTGCGATAATTAACATATGAATATAAACAACATTTATTAATCTAAATATTCAGAATAAGCTGCTCAAATTTCGAATACTTACTCTTTATAATTTGATTAAAGTAAGCATAAAGAACATTAAGCTATTTAATTTCAATATATTCTATTTATAGTTTTATTCGCAAAAAATAATTATGTATTTAAGTATTCAAAATAATTTATTCATGTTCATAAATATTTACCATTAATTTCTTTTTATTCATGATAATTTAATGCATGAGCATAAAAAAATTTCTTAATCTAGATATTCAAATAAGTTAATCAAGCAAGTATATATACATAGAATATTTATTCAAACTAGCTAAGTTATTTATACTCAAATATATATATTATTATATAATTATTGTTTTAATCGCATTACTTTAGTATTTAAAATATTCTTAAATGTTTACCCTAATCGTTGCTAAGTATTATATTTATATATGGTAGTGTTTAAAATAAATGATTTTATACCCTGGTCACCATATCAAGTTCGCAGTATAGAATTATTACATATTAATTAATTGATGAGTTGATGAGCATAAAATTTATTTATATTTGAATATAAATGTCGTATAAAGCGAAATGGTTAAAATTCATTAGGTTACAGAAAATGGATTTCAAAATTAAAATCAGAGAATTTTATTTTATTTTCAATTTATTATTAAACATAAAAATAATCTAGACATAACATTTAAAGATAGATGAGTTGAGAAAGATTGATAATTATATGGAATCTCGAAATGAATATACAATCAGGACACCGGTGGTGCCACACTATCGCTTGTACGTATTAATTATAAAATTAACTAATCGGTTAGTTAACTAATTGATTAATTGACTAGAATCAACTAGTTGGTTAGTTGATTAATCGATTGACCGATTATCGATTAGTTGGTCAATCGATTAATAGTTGGCCAATCGGTTAGTTGTCAATTTGACCAACTAAACGATTAATCGATTTTCGATTTGGATCACTAGATGAAACATCTGGTAAAATTACGTTATTTTTATTTATATACATACAATTTTTTTTTTCTATACAATAAATAGTATTCTTTTTTTTAAATATATATATATATATATATATATATATTATTCAAATGTAGCATGTTTTTCATTATCTTGTTTAAATATAGGTTTACTATTTCCCATAAATAAACCCGAAATAAACATCAATATACTATAAAGTACTATAAAATAAAAATTGAATTGAAATGCTAATACATAAGCCTGAATAACTGAAGACTGTGTTTCAGGTGATAATAATCTTATAGTATGTACAGATTCTGTTGAAAAAGTTGGAGGTAAAGTTAATGTACTTAAAGTTTGTGAAAGCTTATTATTAAATATTGTTCCGGATATTGCAATTCCGAGAACAGCTCCAACTAAAGAGGAAAATATAAGTAATGAATTAGTAAAATAATTTTGCAGAGAACTAAATAAATATAATATATATATATATATATATATATATTTGAATACTTACTACTTCTAAAGAATAATGATAAGGCAGTAGCAGCAGCTATATCCTTTGGCTCAACCATTCCTTGAACACATAATGTAATAGCTTGCATACTTATACCAATTCCAGCACCACTAATTACCATATATCCTATAAATTCACCATATCCAGTGTTTTCATTCCACATAGTGGTTAAACCAGCACCGATTACTGTTATTATAGCAGCAACAAAT